AAATGAATGGTAATCCACATGGAAGAGTTTTACTAAGTATCCAGCTGTATAAGATTCATCACAATATTGAAACTCCATCCCCTTTGCCTCATTTCAAGTTTTGTAATAAATCAGCATTCATTCATTAGCGTTTGCTAAACATTGTGCCTTTTGTCATAAACCTTGGCTGAAGTTTATATATATGCCAGTAGATTTATATTTGTATAAATCTAATCTGGCTCAGACTTCTGTTGCTCTTTGTTTGAACACACAGATTCCAGCATTTGTGCAGAGGTTTTACCAGAATTAGTCTGAAGCCAAGCTCCAAGAGGATCGTGGGGTCTGGCAGCCACTTTAAAACAAGGGTTTAAAAAACAGTTTGCACAAAGTCACAGGAACAGAAAGTGTAATATTTCACCTCTTTTTGTTGCTGGGATGGGTCTGAAACCAGAGTCTTGGACCAAATTGTCCCAAACATTGAAGAACGTCATATTCATTAAAAATTTGATATATTGCTCCAAACCAAAATCTGACCACTAATAGCTGTTTTTTTTAAAAAACATTTTTTAAAAAACATCTCAAAAAATGCTGTTTTGTTGGACTTGGGATGTTTTGCGAGAATGTTTTGATTTCAAGGAAATTTTAAAGAAGAAACAAATTGAGCATATTATTTCAATAATTGTAAAACAGTTTGCTTTGATTTTTTTTTCCCAAAATACTTAACATTTCATTATTACATGATTTCATTATTTCATGATTCATTCATATCATAATACTTAGTTTAGTTAAAATTTTGACTTCAACACTGCTGTAATAAAGGGGAAACACATGTACGTGTCTGAGAAAAACAAGGTAAAGATGATTTCAACACAGGCATGCAATTAAATTTACTCACTTGGAGCACAATTCAGGCACAGAGCTCCACTGGCTTAGATTATTAGGGTTGACATTGCATGGGATTATGCTGCACATTTGATTTAATAAGTTTACCAATGTTCAAAGGAGGACATAGGCAGGTTCTCACCTCATCTGGGAAGCTGGTCTCACTTCACAGCTGTTGTCGTCTTTCAACTGCTCTGTCACAGACAACCTAAACCACAGATGATTTAAGCTAACATGTTTGATTTTAACTGTAGCAGAGAAGTGCTTTACACAGTCAGTGCTGGTCTCTTCTCATGCCAAGACGGGCTGGGTCTGTGCTAGCAGCAATTACTTGCTGTGTACTTCTGCATCATCATGGCAGCACCAAGGAACTGTGTATTGACACTTCTGGGCCTCGGGGTATTTCTCACTTCTCTCCTATAGTCTACTTGGGAAAGCGAGGATGCAGACAAGAGGACCACCTTTCTTCTCCAGTCTGCATTTACATGAGGGATGTGCCCCTCTTTGATCATATTTGCTTAACCACCACTGACAGAGCAGAACAAAGGAGAAACTGTCAAAGACAGGCACTAGTCTGGGACATAGCAACTAACACCACTGTCTCCCACCGCTGTTCAACCAGCTTTAGCTTGACCCAGGACATGGAGTTTCCTCCCCCATTAGGGCTGAAAGGGGACTTCAGTACAGTCAGCAGAGAAGCATGGGTCAAAACCAGCACGGACAACATGGATAACACAGGAACAAAGCCAGTGTGCAGTGTAGTTTCAGATGTTCCAATGTGACAACAGAATCAAAGCCTTGGCATTTTCCATCCTTTTTGGAAACGCTTTCTTGTATGTATACCATTTTTCTGGTTTTTACATATTCTGAGTACTAGAACAATATATTTCATATAAGCTAAATATAGTTGCAAATTGCAATACATATCTGTTACTTTATAATGAAAAAGTGTCTGATTATATTTGGCAAAAAAAGAGTTAATGCCCATGATGAATCGTTTGTGCTGGGGAGCTCTTGGATTGTGCCATTATCACTGTCAGCCCAGGTGGAAAACTTCAGGTACTGTTTCTGTTTATAAGAATCATTAAAAAGATCATTCTCTTCTTTTGTGACAGGTACCTTTATATCTCTTTTACTGAAAGGTCTGCAAAGATGCCTGTGTTCTCATAGAAAACAGGCAACTGCCTTTTTGTTTTCCAGGAAGAAATTTGAGAAGACAGCTGAAAAGAACTACTAAATAACATGAAGTGCTGGTCTGGTACTGGCCATAGACTTCTCACTAACAGTAACAGTCTCTTGATCCCTCCTTGCAGAGCACATGGAACAGTCGGTCACTGCTTTCCAGGTAAGACTTGAGTATTTCCTTCTTGCAAAATGATTGTGATTTAAAACTTTAGCATTAAACTATATGTATTCGTTTCCCATAGGAAAGTCTAAGTGAAATTATGGGGAAGCTGGCAGAAGACTGAAATTTGACAGAACTTTCCAGTTTTAAAATGAAATTGCCTAAAGCAACCATTTATTTAGTTATTTCAATCTCTTCATATTTCATTAAATGAAAAGTTTCCCTGCAGCTGTTTCTGCTCTTCTAGTTTATTCAGAAACAGAGAAGGGAGAAAGAATGTCAAGTAATGAAAGAGAAAAAGGCTGCTTGGTTGACGCACACAGCAGAAGAGAATAAAAACATGAAGGTACTAAGACTAGCAGCATCTATTGGCAAACAGTGGCAAACAAAGAAAAAGAGATTTTAAACATACATTGAAAACAGATAGATCTGTACACAACAGGACTGGTTACCCAAGCATGGTTTTGAAAAGACGTAATTAAACACTGTGCAGAGTGAGTACTCTCACTTTACTGTGTTTGGTGACTGCCTCAGTGTAAGTAACAGGTACTTGAGAATTTGTTACTTTATTTAAAACATGCCAGAGAAAAAGGTATTGAATGTTCTGAAAGATGCTTAGATGCTCAGGCATGTTAACATCCAGTCTCACACTTCATCCTAATGTCTGGGCAGAGCCCCACTGAAATCAAAGAAACTGTATGGTATTTCAGGCCCAGGTAACTGAAGTAGCCACAGGGCTAGTCCTTTATTATTACTTGTTTTCCTGAAAATGAAGAAATGAACATGTTTGTCATCTACACACTTTGCAAGGCATTAAGTATACAAAACCAGAGGAACTGAGACGGCGTCATCCTTATAGAACTACAAATACATATACCATTAAAGTTCATGCACCCAATATAAATCCTGTTTTGTATCAGTTTAATCTGCTTGTTAAATGCTTCCCCCAGTTATTCAGAATCTTCTGCAGTTCTATTCTTGGAGATACGGGAAGTGTAGGAGTGACAAAATCAATCAGGAGTCAAGATTTTTGCACGCAAGTCATACAGAATAAAGTACATCCAGAATTCTTACTAAATGCTGGCAGTAATGCCAAAATACAGGACTATCTTTCAAAATTCTGAGTATGTCCTGTATCAAGTGATGCCTCAGAATATTTGGAAAGCTGAAACAGAGCTCTTAGAAAAACACATTGTCAATAGTGCCTTTGGCATAGGTAGATAAATGTCTGAAAACATCCCTGTGCAGCCCACTGAATGCAAACTATCAGGTGTATTGAACCATTTTTAAGTTGTAAGTCATGATTTTCACAGAGATGAAAATAAAAACAGAGCGCATCAAACTGCCAAAACTAAATAAAAACGCAAGAACCAAGGGCTGGTTTTCAGGACAGAGGCTTAAAGAATTGCCCATTTATGCTCTTCATTACAATTTAATTCATGCATTCCCCACAACAGACATGCAGTCTGCATAAAAACAATTATTTGGAATCCTCTTAATTATAGCCAGTAGTTTCACTGAATAAATTGATCTTACTGTTGGATCAACAGGAGTTAACCTGCTCTGAGCTTTATTACCTTCTAAGGAGCTATGTAAGGAACAAAAATTGTGCATGTCGGCTCATTTCCAAACTGGGGGCCTTGTTTAGCAAAACAAACACCAGCTATAATGACTAAAGAATTAAAATGAGTTTGAGGCTCCCCCTCTCCATGTAACTGATCTATACTTCATGTAGAACTGGGAAAATTCCTTGATTCTAATCTTGAAGGAAAATAATGCAGTCTAAATTATTTTTTATATATTCAACACACAGTTTTTTTGCAGACAACCGTATTTCTACCTAATTCTCTCAACCTCATTAGAGAGTCCACTGAATTTAAATCAACTCATGCACTGTAATATTTTAAAGCCTTTCTGTATGAAATGCATACAGAAGTGGGAATCAGGCATCTATCTGGATCCTTTTAAGAAACAAAACACTGTGGAGTTTCAGGTTGCAGACCAAGTGCTTCAAAAATTGCCTCCCTATATGCCAAATATATTATCTTTCTTCCACAAGCTTAAACGTAAGTAGAAACATCCATACAGACTGCTCAATATTCTTATCTTTCAATATTCAAACTTACTAGAGGCAGGACTTCGATTACCCATCTTGTCTAGAGATTAATATATGACTGCCTTCTGCAGTCATACTCATCTTTGCACATAAAAC